TACATATTTGAAATATAAAAAGCAAAAATTTAATAAATCCCAAATACTTATGTATATATTTCTTTAATGAAAATTTCGAAGTAGAAATATTTATTTAAAGTATTGATAAAAGAAAATTTTTTGCTGAAGCTTGAAAAAATTACATTATATTTATTTTGAATTAATTTAAACAAGGATAAGAATTCGAAAAATATAAGGTTAAAAAAAATGAACTGATTTTAATTAGAATTTTGAAAAAGAAATAATATAATCATAATCAAGATTAGTTGTAGTTTATTGGAGAAGTAAAGAGAGGAGTATTTAATCCTTAATTTTTTGATATAACAAATTTATCACACAAAAGATAGTTATTAAAAATGTCACAAAATGATGTAAGCTAAATACATGAATTTCAGTTTCATCTGAAAACTAATGTAATTCATAGATCTTATAAAGTGCTATAACATAAGCAAGGCCGCGGAAATATTAATTATATTAAAAGGTTCTGACTTTATTATCATTTGATAATTATTTTTCTCTTTCTAAATTAAAATTAAAAATAAAGTAAAAATAAAAAATTATAAAAATTTCAATTCAATTTAGTATTTAGTTTAAAATCTAAATAGTATAAAAATACCCACTTAGATTTCAATACAATCCATAATAATATTCATGAGACAGTTAAAAAATCATAAATTATTAAATACATATCAATTCCAATTTTATAAACATTGAATCCATTAATCATTAAAACCTACTTATTTTCTTTTTTAAACATTTATTTTCCAATTTTTAGGTATATTATACTTATTCATTATTTTCAAAAATAATTCCTAGGGATTTTTATTATCATTTAATCGTTCAAACCATTTAAGTCCGATTCTAACATGGTTACTTTCCTCTTTGACTATCTTTTTAATTACTTTTTCATATCTAATATCTCCTTCTAATTTAGAAATTAAATTAAGTCCTGTATCCATTCCTCTTCCTTCATTAACAATACTCAAAATAGCTAATCTACCTAGTAGAGAATCCATAGTTAACATCATCCTTTTTTGAAGATTATTATGTACAGGTTAAGATCCATATTAACATAATTAATTAACTAATTCAAAATGCTAAAATTCTTCAAATGCAATTTATCCTAAGTCTTCTTTAAATTCTTTTTAAAATTAAGCAGGAACTTGATTTATAAATCTAACAAGGGTGTCAATATATGATTTCATAGCATTATATTCAATATGAGCAATTGAATGGATTACTTAATCTTTAATAGGTATATGTTTAATAGATTATTCTAACTCATATGTTGACATTATCTTTATTACTCTCATTTATTACCTATATATTTTCATCGTAAGAATATATTGGTATATCTTCTGTATTTGAATCAATTGGTAAACTAATAAAATTTCTCATGTCTTCTAAACTTAATTTTGATTTTTTTAATAAAACCTTCCCAAAATTTATCATAAATTTTATTTATCAAAATTTTTATCAAATTTCATTATTTTATTCTTATAACTTAATTATAAATACATTAATAAATAC